AGATCGTCATCTTTGTCCACTTTGTGCAAATATTCCGCCAAATCTTTGGGTGTCGCAAAATCTTCAACGTAAATAAAAGACTTGTATGGAAGTTGTCGTTCATAGTCTTCTTTGCGTGCGCCCAATACCACCGGAATAATGCCTCCTCGACCCAATGAATTACGATACACCTTTTCCGTCACATAATCGGCGCAATGCGAATTTTCAAATCCCAAATAAAATTTATAGTCTTTCGCAAATTGACGCAGACACTTATCCGTATCCGTACAATTGAATGTTCCACATTTACCATACACGTCGACCTGATTCAATTGAAAAATATTTTGAAAGAGAAATTTTATGAAATTAATTCGAAACTTATGTTTGTTTTAATTATTTCAATCAATTTGAAACTTGTACTAGCTTAGTTTGTGCTTGTTGCTAGTCGATAAAATATTAAATGCATTCAAAATTATGAAAATCTATATTTCTATCTATAGCAATGAAAAAAATATTGAAATTCAATGAAATTCTTACTTGAATATACTTTTGAAGTTCACGAACGTAAACATCACGGTCGTTGTGAGCCTCACAGTTCGATACCATCCATGCAACTTTTTTCGTTCTATTTTGGGCAAAATTTCGAGTCTGTGGCATGTGCGTAATTTTCGGGTCATAGTAAGCCCATTTTGAGTATGGTATAGGAATGGTACTGTCATGTCTGGGGAATTTCATACGAAAGAGGTGAGTGAAAAAGTGTTTTATATCTGTTTGTGGCATTAGTCATTGAAATATTAACACAGAACACGATAAAATTTAATTTTAAACTTTGGAATCAAATGTGATTTGCATTGAAACATTATCGTATTTTGCTTACCTATAAGTTATTGTCCAATTGTAAATGATGGATTCTGAAATGCGAAATCAATATTGAATTAAAGTGTGGGATAAATGTATAATCAAGACATCTTTTTTTTATCATTCACTGAATGTCATTCAGTAAACATAATAAAATTTACGTACTTGGATATTTATCTGGCCAGTGAATGGGGCTCTCAAGGCGATAAAAAGCGTAAATTTGGTTAGGTGTTCGTTTTAAATTGATGGGTTGATGTTGTCCACCGAACATGAGAAAATCAGCCGTTTCTGCATCAGATTTATTTACTAAGAATCTGCATGTATCCACTGGGCACTTCCGATCGCTAAACCACGTTGCCATATTTGGTCCTGCAATACCCCACCATCCTTCGTATCCACCATAGATCAAAAGTGTCTTATTTTTCTTCAGGTCACGAGTTTTATAGTAATTCGGTGGAACGAACATCAGTTGATTTTCGAAACGATCATACGTGTCTGGATCTTCTTCTGGTAGAAGTTTAGCATCACGTCGCCCGAGTTTTGCGTTGAATTTCGCCTCTTTGGGATAGACTATGCCATTTTTCATAAAATATGGCTTTGGCCCAAATTTAATGGGAGGAGCTAATTTTGTTCGCGGTAAAAAGACATTGCCTATGGTTATAGATGATTTTTGTGAACTCCTAAAATGTAATATTTTGAATTGGAAAACGTCTGGATTCATAAAGAAGACTTCAACATTGTAGAATATCTACAAGATTCGTCATTTAAACCGCTAATATTCAATTCCATTGAGCAATGGAATAACGAAAGTGAAACTTACCAAAAAATGAACAGACTAATCAATGGTATAAAAACGAATAAAACGAAAAACTTTTTCCGTGTGAAGTATGACGATGCCCAGCTTTTCACTGTGGTGTGGCTTGTTTCCATTACTGTGAAGCTTCTAAATAGATTGATTCACTAAACTTTCCTTTCGAAATCTTATATTCGTTTTCGTCGAATTTTTTTAATAATTACAAAAACATCAATCTGTTGGACTCAATAGAACCTTAAAAATTAAAATAACGATTATTTGGACCTTGGCAACATGGTCAGTGCCAGAAACAGACTGAATCGTACAATGAATTATGAAATAATTATACATTTTGTCAAATTCAAGATGAATTGTTGGGTGCGACTGGAACGTGGCATTAAAAAATAGCACAATGCAATGTACATATACAGGTGAACGACAAACAATAAAATAATGTAAACTAAGAACAGGCTAAGAAAGATGTGGAAAAGAAAAAAAGCGTAAATACAGATGTTCCTATATTATTTGAGAATTTCATTTTTAAGTTAATTTACCTATTTACATATTAGAGAATTTCAGAAGATTGAATATCGTTTTTTTTTTCAATTGACATGAAGTTTTCTTTAAGTTGGAAATGGTTGAAGGTGAATATGTTCATTATTAGCGGGTAGTCGTAACTATTCGTGATTTATGCAAAACTGATATGAGATAATATATGACTGTCCACGGAAAAGCTATAGAACAACTCGACACAACTTTGCAGAAAACACGATTAACCGTTATCTCTAATCAGTTCCATGACAAATGCGAGCAACTGTAATAACACAAACCATGTAAACAGAGACTATGTTAACGTTGTTTAACGCAAACAAAAACATCAAAAATATACTCATCCTTTGAATTGAAGACAAAAATCTCCTTCCAATCTCACCGATATACATATCATCAGTATAAAAATACAAATTGAACTAATTTCCATTTAAAAAAAAGAGCTTCAAACTTTCATAAATTTATTATATTACACACTAAATATGAAAAAATCTAGTTTTTTTGAACTGTTCAATTAACAACTGCATCAATTTTCGAGTGTGCCTTGTGGTCGTTCAGCACCGTGTCTCCTTTCCATGTGTTGTTTCAGGTGGAATTTGTGTTCGTAAGCCGCCGGACAAATTGCGCATTTTACCGTTTTTGTATTTTCGGTGTGCCGTTTTTCGTGAGCCCTGCAGGAGGCAGTAGAAAACCATCATTTTTTTGTAAATATAAGAACCTTGATCCTTTTACTTACTTCCAATGGTCCTTCCGTTTAAAGCGCATATCACAAACTGAGCAGGCAAATGGTCGTTCTGTGGACGTCTATAAGCAACAGAAAAAGGCGCATTATTCGAACTATTAATTTGAAAACCCAAACAACAACCACAAAGAACCATAATGCTTACATGAATTTTCTCGTGAACGCGTAAATAGTCAATAGCTTTGAATGTTTTTGGGCAATGCGAGCATTTGAATAGATTTTCAACAACGTGAGTTCGGCGATGCATCTTCAATCTGTCTCTATTGTAGAATGATTTCCCACATAAATCACACAATACCGACGGCTCACCCTGTTTAAAAAAATCGTAAGTGATAGACCATTTTTCATAACATTTGCTATGTACAATCAATGTCACAAATGACTTACGTGATTTTTAGTATGAAGCCTCAAACCCCATTTATTTGTATATTCTTTGTCACAAATAACACATTGAAGATTCGATTTTCCGTCGTGTAGTTTCAAATGATTTCGGTGTTCGTCTTCACTGGCCAGCTTTAAATGACAGATTTGACACATAAGCGCAATTTGTTTCTTATGCCATGGCAAGTGAGCCTGTTGTAAGATGAAATTGTTTTTATAAGATGAAATTGTTTTTTAGGTTAAATACTTCGTTATAATGAAAATTCAATGAATTAGAAAAATGTGCACAACATAAACATTTCAACGTTTAGCATACCCTACACTCATTATATGTCGAAAAACGAATGCCACAAAACTCACAGGTTCGTCGGTGTACTTTCATATGATTCTGGAAAAAGCGAAACAAAAAAGTCTGAATTTAATGAAAATATTACAAAATTGTAGTCTCTTCCTTTTATTTGTTGTGAAAGCAACATAAAATCACCTCGTGATTTGTCTTTTTGTAGAAAAGAAATTTACATTGTGCGCAATATCGATTCAATTCACTTTCTGTTAATGTCTCGGCATTGACATCTGTTCGGTAGATGCGTTTTGTCAATGGTTTTTTTGATTTTGAATTTGGTGGCTGACTGTTTTTAGGTGCGGCGGCATTTTCCGCTGGAATCTCTGTCTTATTTGATCTGGATATCAATGGAATTTTTGATCTGGATATCAATGGAATTTTTGATTTTCCTCGATGTGGATTCCAACCATGTTTAAAGACGGAATTTTTGTAGTCGGCTGGAATTATTCCCAGGTTTACATTTGATTCTATGATTTGCTTCTTTGACGGTAGTTCACTGATTTCATTTTCCCTTGACAGAGGCTCTCTCTGTTGCGTTGGCACTACTTCAATGATTGTCCATACTTTATTTGGTTGATTTTCAATTGATATTGGATCGGCCATGGGGTCTAGCTTGGTATCGGATTCGATGATAGGCTCGTCTTTAACCTCACAATCTGCGTCTATTTCGATTTTTTTCGGCGGTACCACAGTTTCAGCATCTGGATTTAATACATATTCGGGTTCTGGCAGCAATACAGTTGCTTGATAAATGTGCGATTTTTCTGTGGCCCAAAGAAGCTCCTTTAACTCTGTTTCTCTTTCCGCGCACAAGACACACATACAATCGTAGTCATCGATGCGATTCAAACACTTTGCACAAATGCAATTCGATTCGCTTTCAATGTTTCGCTGTGACTCAAAATCGTCCAGAAATCGCTTGAGTAAATCAACAATCGGCGTATTCGAATGCTGTGACTTGAGTTCAGTGAAATTTCGGCGCCAATTGTCAGTCTGCTCGTTGCAGACGTAACAAATCACTTCCATTATTGTCTTCTCTATATTTTTAACCAAATTAATATGATAAACTAATTTCAAGCCGAGATAAACATTATGATGCGTGAATTTGTGTTGTTCGGTTGCTGAACTGTCAATGTCACTCGATTTGACACTATACTTCAAAGTGGTCAATTGTCAGAATAGACAATGCATATAACCTCTTTTTATAAGCAACACAATTGACTTCCAGTTGATTTCATTTCAATTTTTCACACAAAGTCACACATTTGTATTGCATCATGTATATCATCATTCAATTTTGAAATGTTCACTACTATGATATAGTCAAATCTGGCGGGTGGATGAAAATTTTTTCGAGAAGAAGATATAAAGAAAGAATATTCATTATACATAATATTTGACAGCCATTTACTTTATTCTTCACATTTTGATAGAAAATCTCATTCCGTTTGTATTCTTCATTCTATATTTTCGGTTCCTCGCTCTCCCATTTTTGGTGACTTTAATTTTTTTGTTCCTTGTGGTTGTTCAGCTCCGTGTCTCCTTTCCATGTGTTGCTTCAGGTGGAATTTGTGTTCATAAGCCGCCGGACAAAGTGTGCATTTTACCGTTTTTGTATTTTCGGTGTGCCGTTTTTCGTGAGCCCTGCAGGAGGCAGTAGAAAACAATTATTTTTTGTAAATAAAAGAACCTTGATTCCTTTACTTACTTCCAATGGTCCTTACGTTTAAAGCGCATATCACAAACTGAGCAAGTAAATGGTCGTTCTGTGGACGTCTATCAGCAACAGAAAAAGAGTCATTATTCAAATTATTACCTTGAACAACTAAACCAACAACCACAAAGAGCATTACTGCTTACATGAATTTTCTCGTGAACCCACAAATAGCCATAAGTTTTGAATGATTTTGGGCAATGCGAGCATTTGTATGGATTTTCATTTAAATGAATTTGGCGATGTTTTCTCAATGCGTCTGTACTATGGAATTTTTTCGCGCAAAGGTCACAGAGAACGTCCGCTTCACCCTGTACAATGACAACAAAAAAAGAACATTGAGTAACGTTGCTATGCTTGAAAATCTCTGCACATTGACTCACATGGTTTTTAACATGATGTCTCAAACCTGACACCGATGTAAATTCCTTATCAATATCACAGATAACACATTGACGATTCGATTTTCCTTCGTGCAATTTCAAATGTTTCCGATGTTCATTTTCATTGGGCAATTTAAAATTGCAGATTCGACACATCAGAGCCGCTGGTGAGTTATGCCATTGCATGTGTACCTTTTTGGACGAGAATTCATAAATAATAATTAAAAACTGCGATAACATCCAACTTACCGAATACTTTTCCAGATTTGAGAACGTAACATTGCAGAGGTTACACGTTCGTTGATGTCTGAACAGGTGCCTCTATGATTCCGAGGAGAAAAAATACAATGAAAATTTGGAATCTTTTTTTTTTGCTTTCAAAATGGAAAATCACCTTATAATCTTTGGTTACTCTGAAATATATTCTACACGGTGCACAATATCGTTGCAATTGTTTTTCCGTTAAAGTTTTAGAATCAACGTCTCTTCTCATAGAGAGTCGTTTTGTTCTTAGTTCTGTTCCCGGAAGTTTGGCGTGTCGTCGAAATTGAAAAGCAACAAGTTTGTCTACTGGATTTTTTTCGTTGTTTGTGTCCAGTTCAGCAATTTGTTTCTTTGATGAAGAATGGTGCAGGTGGAAAGCAGGTTTTGGTTGAATGATTGTCTCTGATACTGTTGATCCATTTTCATTTGAATCCCACTCTGGTTCGTGTTCGGATTCAGAGTATGGCTCTTCGGACTCAGAATTGGGTTCTTCTTTAATCTCACAATCGTGCTCCATTTCAGTTTCCTCCAGCTCTACTTCGGCATCATCATTGTCTTCGACCATTATTTCATACGTATATTCTGATCCAGCTTCTTCTACCTGTACCACGAGTACAGATATATTTTCAATTGATATTGGATCGGCCACGGCGTCTAGCTTGGGATCGGACTCGACGATGGGCTCTTCTTTGATCTCACATTCTGCTTCCATTTTGATTTCCTTTGGTGGTAACCCATGTTCGCCATCTGAACTTGGCAAATGTTCCAGTGCTTGAATCAATTCAGTTTTACGACTCATATGTGACTTTTCTGTCGTCCAAAGTAGCTCTTTCAACACTTTTTCTTTCTCCGTGCACGAAATCCATACCCAATCATAGTCATCGATGCGATCCAAACACTTTGCACAAATGCAATTCGATTCGCTTTCAATGTTTCGCTGTGACACAAAATCGTCCAGGAATCGCTTGAGAAAGTCAACAATCGGCGTATTCGAATGCTGTGACTTGAGTTCAGTAAAATTTCGACGCCAGTCGTCGGTCTGCTCGTTGCAGACGTAACAAATCACTTCCATTATTATTTTCTTTATATTTTTAACCAATTTAATATGATAAACCAATTTCAAGCCGAGGTAAACATTGCGATGCGTGAATTTGTGTTATTGTTTGCTGAATTGTCAGTGTCAGTCGATTTGACACTTTACGTCAAAGTGCTCAACTTTCAAATTGACCACAACACTGAACCTTTCTTATTATTATGAACTGAATAGACTATCAGTTGAATTCATTGGATTTTTTAAAATACAAAATCGCTTCGTATTGATTGTATCGCGCTATTTTAAATGATGAGTTCAAATTTGACTGGGGAATGAAAGAATTTGGCGAACGGGAAATAAAGAAAAAATTATTTGATAACATTTTACTTTATTCTTCACATTTTAAAATCATTTTGAATGAATTTCATTTCGTCTATATTTTTCATAAAATATTTTCAGTACTCTCTCATTTTTGTTGCTCAGAAATTTGCATTTTGGTCATGTGCAAATTTTATCAGAAACTAGAACAATTCTCGTCATTTGAAACTATTATTTTGCTTTAAACTTTCCTATGTGGACGAATAGAAGTTATGATCGAGCAAACATTTGGTCCCAAAAGGTCACGTGACACGGTAGTTTTGCTCATTTCTATTCAATATGCTAAAGGCCATCGATGATCGTCACATGCAAATATATATATTACATCTCTACCAGTCTCTTTTATTTTATGAAAAATTCGATTATCTGTCAACATGCCGGTCAACTTCTTATTCTTTGCGATGTGGGAAAAATGGTCGACGATGCAGTAAAAACTTGAACTTTTCCTCCGTTTTGATTTGAAATGCTAGCTCTAATTATTAATCGCATGCAGAATGGAAAAAAAGTTCAAAGGGGCCCATTTCGAGAGCTTAATTATGAAAGATCAACACATGTAAGCGACTAAAAAAATAGAAATACGCATGAATGATGAATAAATATTCATTTGAAAATATTCTATGTTAATCCATTTCAGCTTACGAACGCAATATACTCTTATATCATACTGATGCTAAATTTGGTGGCATAAATGCAATGTGAAAGAAAAAATTTGTTCCATTAAACTACAGCACCAGTTGCGACAGTTAAATATCTTTTTCACTGATATTTTAAAACAATCTCAAGCTTCACTAATGCTGCTCTTAAACCATTGTAAAAATTAACCTCGCACTCGTCCTTTTTTATATCCAAAAACAGTTCGATCGACCCACCCTATTTAAAAAAAAAATTGTAATTTACCATGTCCCCACAAGCAGCATAGCAATTTCGCAGAATATACCTACCAATTTGTGAACCCGAAATTAAAAAAAAACTTTAACGTCGTTTTCTTTGCTTTGATTGTAATAATATTTTCGAATCAAATTTGTTGTTGTTCTTAAGATATTCCGTGATTAGAATAGAATCCGCAATGGGTGCCGCATGAATTTTGTTAAATTTATATTTTCGAGCCGGATAGCTGCTCTATATGCGAAAAACACCAAAACACCGTCTGAATAATATACGCGTTGCGAACATGATATTGACGCGTTTTTTTCGGCGTTTAATTTATAAGCGTATCAGTATCTGTGTTATGTATAACAGTAATATATAAATAAAAATTCATAGAACTGACCACAGCAAAAGAAATTCATGTTCTCACTCTTACTGCCTTTGTTTATGAATTTGAATGAACTATATAAACAGAGGTTCTTGCTACAAGCGATACCGCTACTAAGCTGATTAAATTGCTTGGCGGCGCTCAAATATACTATAGAAAGCAACGGGCAATGTCCCCAACGCTGATGTCATCCTTTCTTTTTTCATTCGGCATTTTTATTAAAAGTCATCCAGTGCTGTGCGTGATTTTGTTGAGTTCGGTTCTGATTGTTTTGTGTTTACGTTTCTAGAACAATGTGTGGAACGTTGAATGTAACTGCGTTCCTCGTTATCATCGCTGGATTCATTTTGCAGTCTAACGCTGGTAAATTTGTTCAGATTTTATGATATGTGCATTATTTATTCAACTTGATTACTTATTCGGGAAATATATTTAGCAAACACTTGGAATTCATGCCTCGTTTGCAATTCAACATCAAATTCAGATTGCACTTATAATCCAGAGAATATTGTAGCTCGAACATGTGATACTATAGCGAATAACTCCTGTTTCACACTTCTTGTCGGTAAGGAAATTTCACAATATTAAAAAAAAGAAGTATTTTTGGCACAGAAGTTGACCGGGCTAATGCAGTAGTAACAAAATAATAACGCGGTTTTTATCGCCACTTATCCAGGCGATGACATAGCTCTCACTAATTATACTTACATATATGCCAATATAATTTAAAATATTGGTTTCTCTCATTGAAAAATGTTTGAATTGATGTAGCAAGTGAAAATGAGTTGATTGAAATTTGATGTTATATACAAATGGACTTGTCGGCACATTAAAAGCATTACGTCACTGTGCAGACGACTGGATCATGTGTTTTATATACTTACTCAAACAGTTGTGTATAGATACAACTATATGATACAGTTAGCCAATCATATTTTGAACAATTTGCGTGTACGCATACATAGGTATTCTATGATATTATATCAGAATATGAAATTAATTAATAAATACATTAGGATAGGAGCGATAAAACGTTGGCAGTGAAAAGAAAGTTATTGCAGTAAAGGACCTTTAGTAAAGATCATTAATAAACTGAAGATCGTGTTACCTAACTGGACCATATCCGTACGGAAATCAATCGTTAAATTACACATAATTTTTCTATATATTTCATCAGCAATCGAATTAAAATTGTCCTCTTCGAAATTCGCACTTCAACTAAACTAAAAAAATGATCATATTCCAGATGATAAGCTCTATCGTGGGTGTTTCAATGAGAGTGACGAACTGTTTCAAAAGTACTGCATGACAGTTGGAAATAACACCGAATGCTACACTTGTGAAAATGGGGAAAATGATTTGACCGCCTGTAATAATGAAGTAAGTGATTGTGAACTTTGTGCTAAAAAAAATTCTTGTGCCACCAACGAATATATAATAGTATGCATTCAATTTTCATATTTTTCAGATTTTTCTCAAACATTCAAGAGCCAAAAGGAGAGGTGGTTATCATGAGAGTAGCGGTGGAACTGCGGATGGTATTGAAGTTCTTGTAATTGCAATTATACTATTCACTTGCTGTAGTGCTTTAATTTGTTGTTGTCATTTTTGCAAAAGTAAATGGAAAGATAGTGATGGTGTCGTCATTAGAACACCCGCACAAGTGATTCAACAAACTCCAGAACAAGCTCCCATACAAACGATACCATTGAGTCAACCAATGCCGGTGTACGGTTATTTGGCGCAACCAAATACTACAGAACTACCAAGCGGGCAAACAAATCAAGCAAAGTTTAATGCGGATTATCCATATTCATTGCAAACGTTTCCATATAACGATAGCATAAGCAGCAGTGCACGATTACCATATGATGTACCTCAAAGAGACTATGTGCGAATAAAACCAACGGCGCCGACGATGGAATAAAATTAAAACCGATTTTTCATTGCATCACTTTATGTTGTCTATAAAGTTCACAGTAATTACTTGCATACACAAAGGTGTGTAGTTTATCATAACCATCGAGGTGAAACAAGTTTGACCGCTACATGTTCTCGACTGTGGCACAAATCGCAAACTCTTATGTGTTACGTCAACAGAAGGGTTTGATAGGGACTTCTTTGAACCGTGAAGAATTGAGAAAATGGTCCATTGTGAACAATTCCAATCAAAATGTATTTCAATGTGGGCTAGGGATTAAATGGATATCGAAATGAAATAGAGAAGAAAGTATTCTTTTATATTTTGATAATATTTTGCTTTACATTTTTTTTACATTTGAAATATTTTGTCCCGTCTATATGGCGCATGTAGGTATTTTTTTCATCTATTTTCAAGTGTTTCTTGTGGTCATTCCGCTGCTTGTCTCCTTTCCTTATTCAACTTTATTCCTTATATTTATTTTGAATGAACCTACCACTATAAACGTCAGCGATCAACATCAACAGAGACACTATAGCACATAGCATTAAACGCACTATTGCTTCACTCTTTGTACACACTTTGACATCACTTATGGTTTGGCGCGCGTCGTACGTTTTTCAAACGTTTATGTTTGATTCAAGTATTTCACCGATTTCACCGAATTTTCGTACTCAATATCAATATATTCATTTTTACTTGGAAGTTTTTTTTTATTGCAATGATGTTTTAAAATATATTTTGTCGAGAAATATTTTTTTTCCAATTTCCAAAATTAAATGAAATTAAAACACATAGCATGAAACGTATTCATAGTAGAAATGCATATGTATTAGTTTGTACTTATTCATTATAATGTATTTGGATAGGACGCTAGCGCGGCCTGGAATGAACATGTCATTCCGTCTATATTTTTGATTTTCCGTTTCGCTGCTCTCCCCTTTTTGGTAACTTCAATTGTTTTGTTCTTTGTAGTCGCAGGATCATGCATCACTTTGTTTTTTTTAGTACCTTGTGCGCCTTGTGCTCATCTCCGTGCCATTCTTCCATGTGTTGTTCCAGATGGAATTTATGTTCGAAAATCGCCAAACATAATGTACATTTTTCAGTCATATTTTCGGTGTGCCGTTTTTCATGGACCCTATGAGAGAAAAGAAAATTGGAAAATGCAATATTTGGTATATAAACTTTACTAACGGGCATCTATTCGAATATACACGATTGAAATAAACTTACTGATGAAGAAATTTGTTCTTGAATCGCATACCACAAAATAAGCAGGCAAATGGACTGGCTGAAGACTATCAGAAAGAAAAATAATCATTCAAATGATGAAAATCTAGTCAATGAACAGGACATACATAAAAATGATGTTGACACAGAGAGACAATGGATGAGATTGAGAGTAGTGTATGTTTATTTTCTCTACTTATTCCGAAACAATGACTGTGAGACATACACCACTCTCAAACTCACCCATCGAATTGAACAGCTGAGAAGTAGCCTAATTTTATAGATTTGTTTGATTTCACTCTCAGCCGTCCAATCGCATCAGGATAGCAAAATTTATGAAACTTTATTGATTGTAAAAAAATAATTCTCACATGAATTTTCTCGTGAGCGCGTAAATGATCACTAGTTGTGAATGTTTTTGGACAGTGTGAGCATTTGAATCGGTTTCCATCTAGATGAGTTTGCCGATGTATTGTCATTCTTTCATGAGTCATGAATCGCTTGTCACACAGATCACATAGCGCTTTCTATGCGATGAAGATGAGAAAAATTATATTTCAATAAAAAATTAATATGAAAATGCCCAAAATCCAATGCAAATCAACTTACATGTTGTTTTACATGAAGCACCAAGTATTTTCGATTCACGAAATTTTTGTCACAAAGAACACATTGATTTTTCAATTTTTCATTATGTAATTCTAAATGTTTCCGATGTTTGTCTTCATTGGCCAATTGAAAATGGCAGATTTGACACAAAACACCTATCATCGTATCATGCCATTGCATATGAACCTTTTTCGGTGTAAAAATTATAATAGAAAAAATAAAATAAAAGAATATTCATTAAAAAGTTCAAAATTCTCCTTGATCAGCTGTTCAAGTCTAGTTTAAAGCTGACTTACCGTCAGTTCATCCGATGTTTTGAATATAATGTCACAAAACTCGCATTTTGGATGATGGATTTTTTCCATGTGGATCTTAAATGTAAAACCAAATACATTCAAATCAAGGCAAATGGAAAGTTTTTGTTAGAAAAAATTAAATTCTTTCGAATTTGCTACAAAATGAGAAAAATCACCTTATAGTATTTGCTTCGTCTGAAATAAATTTTACACTGTGTGCAATATCGTTTGAACTGTTCATGGTTTAGATTCTTGGGAATTTCATCTGAACCGGGCCAAAATCGTTTGCGATTGGTTTGCGGAATTTCCCTGTCCAGTTCAACGATTTGCCTCTTCGACGATGGCTCATCAGTTTTTTTCTGTTTGGTTAGCGTTTGCTTAATGATTGTTTCCGCTGCTTGTGATTCATTTTCATTTGAACCCAGCTCTGATTCGTCATCAGATTCAGAGTTTGGCTCTTCCGGTTCAGAGTTTGGTTCTTCTTTAATCTTACAATCGTGCTCCATTTCAGTTTCCTTCAGCTCTATTTCGGCATCATCATTGTCTTCGACCATGATTTCATACGTGTATTCTGATCCATCTTCTTCTACCTGTATCATGAGTACAGATGCATTTTCAATTGAAATGGGATCGGCCACGGAGTCTAGCTTGGGATCAGATTCAGCGATAGGCTCTTCTTTTATCTCTAAATCCACTTCAATTTCCTTTGATAATAGCCCATGTTCGGCATCTGAACTTTGCAAATCTGAACTTTGCAATACTAATTCACGACTCATGTGCCACTTTTCTGTGGTTAAAAGTAGCTCTTTCAACTCTTTCTCCTTTTCCTCGCACAAGACACACATACGATCGTAGTCATTGATGCGATCCAAACACTTTGGACAAACACAATTCGTTTCGTTTTCAATGTCGCGTTGAGACTCAAAATCGTCGAGAAATCGCTTGAGTAAATCAACGATCGGTGTATTCGAGTGCTGTGACTTGAGTTCAGTAAAATTTAAATTCAAAACACGCCAGTCGTTGGTCTGCTCATTGCAGAGATAACATATGACTTCCATCACCTTATTTTTCTGATTTTTTTCCAACAAATTTATTAAAATGAAGGTAAAACTTATTTCAAGTCGAAGTAAATAACATTGCAATGCGTGAATCTATGTTGTTTATTTTTATATTTGCTGAAATGTCAGTCGATTTGACACTTTACTTCAAAGTGCTCAACTGTCAAAGCAACCATAACACAGAACCTCTTTCTGTAGCAACAAAACCAACAAGTTGGAATTTTTTTTCTTACTTTTAATTTATTTCTTTAAGCAATATTTAGGAAGATAAAAACAATTCAAAATGAAAGCACTAATTCAACGTGTTATTACTGCCAAAGTCACCGGTAAATACATACA